GTTTCTGTTGAAAATTTTGACACGACATTCTTGAAACTTGTATCATTCGAGCACGATTTCTTACTCCGAGGAAGAAAATGTTTACGATGTAGCTAGAACTCGCATGATGATTTTAATCTGAATAGAGATTGGAAGGGAATTCGTGAAACGAACGAGCCACGGTTCATTAATTCTACTTTCATCGCGATTCCAATTTTAGACGGTCGATCGTAAATTATACTTATAGTTTCCTGTATCTGATCAGCGCGTTGATAGATCCGCGATTTACGTGAATCAGCAGCAACGGGTAGGCATGGAATTCGAGAAGATAAGGTTTTACGGTTTAGGAAGAAACTGCGGAGACGTAGAAAACGATAGCGATATTTCCTTGAGTCCTGGCACTGAATAGATATAAACCCAAAGTCGGGAAGTTGAAACAAACATATTAAAATTCGAACAAGTCGATCAGGGTTGTTCATGGATCTGTGGTATCCAACGAAGGTAAATTGGGATTCGCAAGTCCCAGTATAGAAGAGACTGGGAATATGTGAGATTTGATATGGGCATCCCTAGCATAGTTATCTAATCAATCTAAACATTGACAACAATAAATAGTCTGGTATCCAAAATTCACAATATTTATTATCTATTTAATCAGTCTAAAATTTGACAACAATAAACAATCTGTTCCTCAAAATCCATACTATTCATTACCTTTCTAATCAATATAAAACTAGTCCGAGTCTAAAATTTACGCTATTACCTATCCAACCTATCAAATCGTCCAAAAATCTAGCAAAAATGAATATCCTGGTCTCCGAAAGTCTCCCTATTTATTGTTTGTACACAGGCAATTTTTCTTGCTCGCCTCCCCTAAGTGAAAGATGGTCTAAGGATAGCCGAATGTCGATCAGAGCGGTTTTACTCGGTCTTTCGAGCTAATTGAATTTCGTGGCCAGAGGAAAAGAAGACTCACGGCTCAGTAGGAAGCGATGCAAAGCGAATCGCGAGTTGAATATCCGTGGGTGTTCGACGTGGCTCTTTTTTTTTTCTTTTCTTCTTCGTTGTGCGAACTCGCGCGCACGCCTGTTACCATCCAATCTGTAATTCATTGAGCGCAGAGGGAACAATGGCGGCGGCTGCGCCGCAAACTTTTCCATAATTATACGGTGCTTAAGTCGTGATTACCGTGCACGGGTCCGCGGTGTACCGTCAGCTAGCTGCCACACGGTATGCCGATCAGTTTTCGCAACGGTGGGACGAGGAATCGTTGGTGCTTCCTCGCCATTCCCTTTCTAGGATGGAGAAGATTCATTTGATTTAGGGTTACTCTTCTATTTTTAACACGTTGGCTGCCACGCTATAACTCGTGAAAATTTCTATACACTTAAAATTTTGTCTAGGCTATTGTAGATTAGATAATTTAACATCTCTCGTAGCATTTAATTTTTTAACGTCGGCAAATTCACGAAACCTGTCCAGACATATTTTCATTATTGTCTGACCTTTGAAATTTATTTTTTTAGTTCCTTTATAGAAAGTGCTGTCACCCGTTTCTGGGTGACGTGGCGACGAACGTGTTAATAGTTTCGAGGTATCGTGATTTTCTGCAAGGAAAGTAATTGACAGAATATTGTGAAATTTGGTACGTTTATTTGCACATGTTGTAAGGGTAGAAATGAATTTTGGAGCTTTCAAAACATAGGAAAGTACGATATAATGGAACATAACAGCATAATAATGCAACGTAGTATAACATATTATATCATAAAACACAATATAAGACAACATAACGCAACGAAACACAACAGAACAGAATGCAATACAATAAATAACAGCATCGCTCTTCAATTATTTATAAGGGAAAACCACACAACTTTTAACCTATCCTCATTCACACATTTCAATAAGTCTGAGCGAATGCTTTTAAAATTCATAAATATAATAGAAATCATTTGTCTACTCATCTTTGACCACCACATTATATTTGACAGTTTCAGCACAGGCAGTTCTCATAATTTCATGAAACTCAATGAAACGTTTCAAACAATAGTTAATCAGTATTGAGATACCAATAAATTGAAATTGAAAGTTTGAAACAAGTTGCATTAGTAACTTTTATTCAAAAGTAAAATTGCTTCAGATTCTGCAAAATAGAAAATAATTGAAGCAATTAAACACTCCTAAGGCTAGATGTTTTGGATGAACATTTAGCGCTTTTGAGCCTGTCCTCTAATCTATGATCTGAATACATCACTAACTCCATCATGTATACACAATTATTTTATTAACCACACTCGATCTTAACAAATCGTAAAATATGAAATTGGAGGGGGGACAAGATGAAGCGAAAGTGCAGACCGCAACATTCTTTGATCCGTGTATGACAGAGCCACGTTTACGAGCTGCCATGGGACGGTTGTAACGAGTCTGGTATGTGGTACGCTTTCACCGTTTGCAATATTCATTCATCCACGTATTGTTATTATACGCGCGCGCGAATTACTGCCATGAAAAACCCTCATACACCATGTTTCATCTAAACATACTTATTATTTGACAAAAAATTGTCCATTCAATGAGTAAAATATTAGGTTGTCCCAAAAGTTTCTTTCGTTTTATTAATAAGTAATACATACACAATATTTTATGTCTAATATTACATTATTGAATTGTGTACGATTCATTTTGCTCCATTCCTGTTAAAACATCAATATCTAAGAAATTAGATTGCCTATTTATATAAACACTGCCACACAAAATAATTGAGTGCAAATTGCGAAAGAAACTTTTGGGACAACCAAATAAATAAAATTGTAAAAAGCAATACCTATTACTTACATTCTCTAATAATTATTCTTATTTCTCCGACGTTTATTCACTTATTGTATCATTCGTTAAACTGTTTGTTCGATACATATACTACTAATAAAATATTTTCTTTCTTATACTCAGATATTAGAAGAAGGTGAAACATAATCGTAAATATTCGTGTATTTTTGAAGTTCTCGTGGAACATTTTGCCCAACTAATTTACAACCGGTAATAAACCACATTTCTCCAAAGAAATCGTGACCATCGATCAAAGAGATCTGAGGAGTCGTGCACGAACGAATTAACGCGTGTACCTCAGTAAACTGAAAAGGTCTCTCCCCTTTGGAAGAGAGATCGAAACGCACGTGACCGGTAATAGAGCACGCGCAATAAGATTGTATCGCTCTCGAAACCCTTGTCCGACATCGGTCCCATTATGTAATTACGAATTCACAGTGCTGAGATCGTCGTGCACAGACGATTCAACTTCGCGTTGGGTTATCCAGCATCGAGTCTGCCAAGATTCAATCGGAGATGGGCCGATTCCTTTCTGAAGTAATTTCATCTCGAGTACCTTCATTCAGAAAGTTCTGTATTTGCAGATTTTCTTGGTTTATCTTGATTCTAATTCAGGTGTAAAATTATTATTGCATATTAGTCGTGAAAGAATAATTTTACAGTCGAGTTGCAATTAATTTCATGCTTTTTTGGTTAGAAATTGTTAATTATAATAAAGTATTAGTCATAGTTAATCTCATGCATTTTCATTGAAACATTTCTGTATTTGTCTATTTTCTTAAGTTTAAACTGATTCGAATTCAAATTTAAAGCGTTATCTTATATTATGTTTAAAACAATAATTTTATAATCGGGTTTAAATAATCCTAACAGAAGTAATTTTACAATTGAGTTAAACGTTATATCTTGTCATTCTGTGTGCGTGGAAAGTGCATCTATGCAATCGAGTTAACATTGCTCTTTTATTATTATTTGAATATGAATGCATTTGTAAAATTCTGTTAAAGTTGATCTTTTCTTATTACTTGGATATAGAAAATGGGCCTATAGGATCGAGTTGAAATTATTTCCTATCATCATCTGGCTGTGTAAAATCCGTGGGCCATTTAGCGTCATTTCGCCATTCGCGTTTCGATTCGAGGGTAATGTTTACCTGAAATTTATGCACCGTTTACACAGACAGCTTTAAGCTTGCGGTAACCCACATTCTAGAGAAACCGGAATTCCTTGCGTAAACGGCATTAGCGTTTACGCATTTTACAACGGTCTTTTGACAGACGTTTACGCAGGCATTTCAAACGACTCTATTCGAAAGAGGAACACGGGAAACCACAGCTGGAACGGGAACATAAAATTCAGTATCAACATCGTCGAAATTTATGCGACGAATTCTCGATACGGGAGACAGAGAAACTGTCGACGCTGCGGAATGTCACTGAATGGTGCGATACTAATGTCGAATACTTTATTATTAGGAATGTTCGGTGGAATTGCCGAATCTACAGGCTGATTCAGGCAAAGTGACCATTCAGATTGTTTGTAGCAGTGGTTTGTTAAGTTTTTTAGCAAGGAAACCTTTTAAGGGCAGTTGGACAGGGATGAACAGGGAAATTCTTCGAAAATAAAAACTTTGGGAATTAATTTCAAGGAAATTTACATTTTTCATTATTTAAAAACCTTTACTATTTAACTGTAAACTACACTAGTAATTTTAGAATGATTCTTTGCACCGATGGATGTTTGTCCTGACTTCAATTAAACTCTTGAATGAATCCCAATCATATAAAATTATCATCTTCTTTCTTAAAATTATTGTTTATTTAATCATAATTATATTACTCTCTATAAATGACTGAATGAGATTGTTGAAAGAATTCTATATTTATTTAATTTTATTTCATAGTTGGTCTTAAGTATTCATTTACTTAAAATTTAATGAAGCATGGAATTGGAAGTTCGCTTAAAATAGAACCCTATTTTTATTACAAAATGTCTATTTTATTTTATTAAATATATTGATATTACACGTATCAAAGTGTCGTAAAACTGACAAAGTATACTTTGGTTAATAAATATTATCTTCAATGCAACTATAGCAGCTGAAAGCTTCATTACGAGTTCAGTCATTTTATCTGCAAAAATTTAATGGATTTATATCAACCTCTAACGTTTTGTACGTTTTGTTTCAGGCGAAGTCGAGAGTAAAAGAAGTGTACGCGCAGACATGCATGCTTCTTGGCCAGCAGGGCATGCGAGATTGCGAACTGTTCGGTCTGGCAATACTATCCGGTAAGTGAAACGTCTATTTTACTCTTTTTCTCATTAAATCTTCGTTCAGGTTCTCAAACAGTGCACGAACAGTGCCTAAAATTATTTATATCATTATTAAAGCTTTCACGTGTTTTTCGTTTAAATTTAATTTTACTTCAAAATTAGAAAAATGAAACGTTATGTATTTAAATGAGGCAAGTGATAAGAATAGGCTTCAAGTAATTTGTTTTTTTATATGGCAGAAGTGGTATTATGTGGAATTTGGCACCACTGATTAATCGTAAGTGATAATAAAATTTAACGATAGGTTCCTTCTTCTTTCGAAAATATCAAAAGTGTTTTTCTCAAAATAACGTTTCTTGGTATGAAATGTAATGAACAGGATAATCTAAAAAAGCTACATGAACGATCGAGTTGTATGTACATTATAAAAAAACATTTACCTGAAGACAAAACTTGCTATTAGGAATGTTGGATATATTTATTTTTAGTTGATTTAAAGAAAGAAAAAAGGGACTAGTAAACTGAGTTAGTTCGAATCAAAGTTGTGCCATTTTCTGAATGTTTGAAATCTTAATTTCATGGTGCCTGGAATTAATAAAAGTACCAATAAAAGATAGTTTTTGCAAAATGACTACAAAAAACGCAAAAACTTGGCAAAAAAATGTATTATAACATGCTCAAAGCTACGATCAAATTTGTCGGTAGCTTTGTTTTAAGGAAAACCGATTTAGAAATTTCTGTGGTGTGGTAGCTATTAAATACGAAGTGGTACGGTATGTACGCAACATCTCAAAGATTTCCGTGTGAAATCAATTGAAAATATTACCAAGCGTACTTAAAAATATTATCAAAGTTAACAAAGAAATGAAATAAATTCTTCTCTAAAAAGGAAATCCTGAGAAACACTTAATATTTGACCTTCTAATGTCGTTTCATCCCTTAAGTTTCCACCGGTCTCGAAACAACACTGTAGCCTCGTGGAAATTGTTCACGAGTATTAGTTCGGCGGTGGACGTGTTAACGGACGAAATGCGGTCGGACGGGCCGATGAGCATCGTGAATGACTTGCGAGGTAGCGTATCCGCCTCGAATTACGGCGCGCCACTTTTTAACTTCCTTCGGAGTGGATCGAATTACCGAAGCTCACGCGAGTCATTAGGTGTTGCGTTTCGCGAAAGCGCGAATCCTCGACACGATCGCGAACGTCAAATTGCCCTCCCAATTTCGTGACGGACGCGTCGTTAGCTCGCCGATTGACAGACCCGGCATCGAACAGATGCGTCCCGAATTTTTTGCCTTCCGCGAAGAACGATTACCGCTGCGAGCCACGTGAATCGAGGGGGGACTCGGCTCGATTCCCTCACGGAATTTGCGTTTTTGGCGATGGGATTTAGAAATACTTAAGAGGGCACATCACTGTAACGGCTTCGAAGTAGACGTATTTTTGAGAATTTTTTTTTGGTCGAAAAGTAAGGTGAAGCAGGTGAAGGAATTTATTGCTCGTTGAAGTTAATATATACACATTGAAAAATATAACAAATTAATCTGTTAAGACGTGCCCTATAGTTCAACCTGATTGTCAGCAAAACAAAGAAACTGTATGTACATAGTTCTATTTTAAGGGTTACTGTTTTATTTTTACTAGTTTCCATGCAATTGCCATGACTTTTTTGTTGTTACAGTAATTAACATACATTTTTGAAATTTGGTATGGTTTATTGTCAAATTTGCAATTGTCCTGCAGAATTTGTTTACAAGTTATATGCAATGTTGAACGTTACATCAGGTGAAATAGGACTGGATTGTTGAAATAAATTGAATGTTAGAAGTAATTGACATGATCTTTTGAAACTTGGTATGATTATTTATACAGGTATGCACAAGATTTTGTTAAATTTCCAATTGTCCTGATCAATTTGTTTACAAGTTACGTGGAATATTCTACTTATCAGACAGAACGAACCCAAAGTGTTAGCAGTATTGTGTCTGTCCTAATGATTCGTACCAAGAAAAAGTCATTTTGTTTTATTCATTGTAAATGTGGTTATCGCGTAAACTAAGGACAAAAATGTTAATACAGAATTGACGAAGTGGCTGCAATTTAAACTTATGTCTTTGATTTCTTCAAACCATTTGTAATTTTAGCGGTCCCTAAAAAATAGTAATTTTGAAAATATCCTTATTTAGGACATAGTCTGATTCTATTCATTGGAGGTCAATGGTTCCAGAAACGCAGTGACGTAATCCTTATAAAAATATAACTTGCATGTAAATCTTTCAATATTTTTCTAATATTCACAAACATCCATTTGCAATGGCAATGCAATAATTATTTTCTTGCATGTTTCAAAATACCCCCACGCGTCATTGTTCTAACGTCCAGTCGAGGATTTCCACGATCGTCAGTTATTATACCTTCGGTAAAAAGAAAGAGGTTACTTTCGTTTCAAAATGACATAAGTAAAAATCGTCGCTCACCGATCGATTCGCGGTGAATCTTAAGGCAGAGGAGAAAGTGTCCTAGCCGTGTGTAGCGGCGTATAATCTACGAACGAATTGGAAATGAGAGCGAAATTGCATAAACATCAAGCCCCCTAGCCCCGAGGAGTCTGAAACTCTTGACTAATCTTGAGATCTTTCTGCATACCGTGGTCTTCTTCCTCTGCCTCGCCCTCTGCCCCGTTGCAGAGAGTACGTCCCTTCTCCTCGCCGAATACTCGCTCTCGCCACTACCCTCGCTCTACTCTGCCTTCCCACCAGTCATGACAAGCCGGTCCGACTGGTACCCCCACCCGTGTGGACCCTTCTTGGGCCTCGCAGGGCCCTGCGGGACCCCTACCCCTACATTCCAGCGGGGCCCCATCTCGGCGAGCCTGAGCTGGCGGGTTTTGAGGCGCGCGAGCCATGCCACGACAGGAAAAAAATGCATCTGAAAAGCCAAAACAAGTAGAAAAAGGCGGCATCACACCCCTGCATGCGTGCGTTCGGTTTGCGGGAACGCTGCCCGGCCGTGTCTGTGTTTGTGTCCCTATCTCTCCACGTTCGCCAACCGTACCCCGTCGGACGGTACCGCAGGGCTTCTTCTTCAGCCCCGTCCGCGGCGTAACGCGTTTCCCTGGGTTTGCTTTCTACCTGCGTTTCCTTGTTCGCCAGCCCACGTGTTTTCCTTCCAAGACGAGGGCCCACAGCTCTTCTCTGCCTTTACCGGTGAGCTTCTATGGGTGGCCTTCTTAGCCGTGGTAGCTCTTTCTTTGGCATCGTCCTCTTTTTCCTCGCGACGTTATTGTTACTACCATCTTTGCCTTCCTCTTCGTCCTTTTTGCCGTCCGCTTCGCAGCCCTTTTTTTTTATTGCTCGATGCTTCTTCTTCTTCATCCTCTTCATCTTCTTCATCTTCATCTTCTTCTTCTTCGTCTTCTTCTTCTTCTTCTTCTTCTTCTTCTTCTTCTTCTTCTTCTTC